AAAGTAGCGGATACCCACCGGGAGACTTCCATACAAAAAAAAAAAAACGAAAACCAGCTGGGCAAAGAGAAGTGGGCCAGGCAGGGCAGAGCAGGGCAGGGCAAAAGGCGCGGCCGCCGCGTACACACAAAACAAGTCTGTCTTGTCTGTTAGACTACTAGTAGCTTGACTGACTGACTAGTAGTAGTCGTCAAGTCCCATCCATCTATCCATTTATTTTGTTCAATTTCTGTGAGTGGATTCCATACCTTACTATCCAGTATCCATATCAATTCAGTCATCCGCATGTAATGAGTAATATTATCCAATCAACCCAAGCTTCGAAGATGGAAACCCGCTCACTCTCTCTTCTTGTGGTTAATCTTAAGACTAAAAGAGTGTTCCATGAAATGGTTATGAATCATTATTATTATTAGTGTCATTGTTTTGGTACGTAGTAGTGGTAGTGAGTTTTGGATTTGACTGCAATGGGACTAGATACGTACTGAGTTAGTAACTTAGTATACTGTGTGGTCTGGTCTGGAGGAGAAAGTCGATAGCCTCGTTTTTCGTTGCCATGAAATTTAGCGGGTCGGTCTAGGGAGGTGGTTTTATCTGGGACAGAGGATGAGACTTTGGTTGTTGGTGTTAGATTATGTACACTCTATCGAATCTGGCATTAGTTATTCTGGAGAGTATTTGGCTTTGGCTTGCCAGCTGTTCATACATATATACATACATACATTCATTTATTTATTATGTTGTGCTGTGTTGTGTGTGATGTGATGATGATCGCAGGAGGGAGGGACGGAGGGAGGGAGTGAGGGAGGTCATTAGATGATGTGATTAATTAATTTAATTGACATGGTAATAAGTGGCTGCTGCGAATCAGGTTGAAGGTCTGGAGGTGAAACATACATAGTGTACTTATCCTCATCTGGGATTGACTATTTTTGTAAATGTTTGTTGTTAACTACTATCTATAATTATCATTATTGTTGTTTTTGTTTAGTATACATTGTTGTTGTGAATATCGTGATAGATTTATCAATCCTCCTTTTCACGGAGTATTTCTTCTTATCATTGAAGGGGGTTGGATGGATTCTCACTAAGTAGGAGTGATGAACCTTGCATTGACATCTACAAAGAGAGAAGAGGAAAGAGTACACAGTAAGAAGAAGTGGATTGAAACGAGGAATGAAAACCTGCCACGAGTTCCCTGCAAAGATTCCGATGATGCCTTGAGAGGGAGACGACCTGTTCTGGGTGCAAGTTATTTTTCCTTGTTCTGACGATCCTTCCGCTAGATCGAAGCTTCTAGCACGCGCAGATTATAATTTCATAAGGACAACAGAAGAGAGAATTGAATTGGGTGAAAGAGAGGGGCGGAAGTGACTTCCAGAGTCCGTGAGCAGGGAAAGAAAAGCAAAAAAAAAAAAAAAAAAAAAAAAAAAAAAACTTCTGACTGGAATGTGAGCAAAGAAACACAGAGAGATGGTGTGCTTGGGGCTACTCTCATCCATCCATTAAGGGACGACAAAACAACCGGGGAGCAGGAAGCAGCGTTCCAGAAGTGGAGCTAGTGATATGCAGGATGGACAGAAAAATTAAAAAAAAATATAGAAAAGCCTTTGGACTTAT